CTTTGTTGGCCCTGCACTATGAATCTAGAGAACTCGGTATTAGGGATTCTTTCTTACTCCTTTTTGTATCTCTAGGTAAAAGCATTTGCCAGCTGAGTTAAGAGGTGAAACTATGATGTCACCAAAATGACAACGAACCTGTAGTGGAGACCTGGGACTCTAGTGTCAGCTTTGTTACTAAATGATTGCATGACTTTGAACATGTTCCTTCACAGATTTGAGTCTCAATTTCCTCATCTGTAAAACGAGAATAAAAATACAACCTTCTCCGGGGCTATGGAGATTAAATGAGGTAACAGAGCTCACCAGCTGCTTGCCCTGTTTGTGCCCTGCCCTAGCAAAACAGCCTGGACTATTGTCCCTGTCATCTGGATCTCATTTGCTCTGTCTCCTGGTGAGAGCCAAGCTGAAATCTGTTGCCTTGTTGGAGGGGTCATTTGTAGAAGTGACATACATATCATTCAGGTGGCCTCTGTGTTGCCAGAAGGACATACATTAAAAGAGAGGAACATTTCAGGCTACAGAGATATGTACTCATATCCCTGAAAGCTGAAGGAGAACCCAAGGTGGGGAGAGCGAGCGTGGCAGAACAGATCTCCATCATGTGCTGATCGGTCTAAGCTCGCTAAGTCCTGAGCGTCATCAACATTTGGACAAATGCCACTTCTATAAAGCCTTCTCATTCATCTACTGTCATAATTTCTCAGTGCCTTCGGCTGATATGATTAACTCTATCATGACTATCCAAGTGTTAAGAAAGATGAGGGGAAGTAAAGAAATTGCAGATGCCGTATAAGAGAGATGATATTCAGAATGATTTTAGGTATATCTATCTCAAGAGATGTCTATCAGTTCCCAGGTGAAATGTCTTTCTAGAAGATCTACTAACATTGCTCTTTTTGCAATATAAAGGAAACTTTTCCATCCAAAAGCACATGGCTTAAAGAGGCCCTAGAAGCTGTAACTGATAATTTTTAGTGTTCTCTTTGCTTTCCGTTTATTAAGTGAATTTATTTAGATTCATGGACTGGGTCTCAGTAGACAAGTAGTCAAGGGAAGGTGATGAGAGGGAGAAAAAGGAGATTGAAGTTAGTGGAATTCTTCCTCAAAAGCTAAAGTCAGTCCTAATGTTAAAGGTAATGGCCACAGGGAAACAAGATACATTTTCATTTTGCCAAGCTTAAAAAAATATTTTGTGTTCAGATGGCACCTTTAATCATGAATAACTCTTGGCTGAGTTCCAGGCAGATTATTCTGGTACCGAGGACTCTGAGATCATATACTATATTCAGAGCACAGAAGAAAATTTTCATCCATTTCTGAAATATGGAGGGGTGGGTGGAGTATATTTGAACAGTTTCTAACAAAACCATACTAAGGTTAAAAAAAAAAAGAAAGAAAGGGCATCCCAGCTATTTGGAGTTCAGAAAGGTACTACTCTAATTATTAAGTGGCATTTTTTTTCATTCTGAGTGTTTCACAGTAAATTAGGTTGCATAAATTCAATGGCAATATCCTATTTCAAGTATATAAATGAAGGCAATAGTTTTTGTTACCCAAGGCTAATTTAAATTGAAGAAAAAAGGGAGGCAAAAGAAAAAAAAAGCAGCTCCCAATGTAGCAGGTTGTGACCCAGGAGTCTGAGCTCTTAAAGCTGAATTTAATCCACACTCAGGCCAAATATAATCCCAGGATGGAAGTGTTCCAGGACATCAGAGCTAACATTTTCTACCTTTGCCAAAGAACCAGAGGCAGTTAAATGACAAGTAATCAGAACATTGATTCTGTTTTCTTTTCTGTTTTTGGTTTTTTGAGACAGGGTTTCTCTGTATTGCTTTGGAGCCTGTCCTGGAATTCACTCTGTAGCATGCTGGCCTCAAACTCACAGAGATCCACCTGCCTCCTGAGTGCTGGGACTAAAGGCGTGCGCCACTAAAGCACAGTGATTTAAGCATCTTTTTTTTTTTTTTTTTTTTTTTTTTTTTTGGTTTCTCTGTGGCTTTGGAGGCTGTCCTGGAACTCACTTTGTAGACCAGGCTGGCCTCGAACTCACAGAGATCCGCCTGCCTCTGCCTCCCGAGTGCTGGGATTAAAGGCGTGCGCCACCAACGCCTGGCTGATTTAAGCATCTTAAAGGGGATGTTCTCTCTCTGGACACCACAGCCTCTTGTGCCACTCATTTCCTGGACACCTAGACGGTCTATTTAAATTAGAGATTTGGGTCATACAATTTTTGGTGGCAAGGCTGAACATTGCTATCTTAGAGTTACTAATGCTGTGATGAAGCACCAGGATCAAAACCAACTTGGGGATGAAAGGGTTTATGTCACTCACAGTTCCATATACTAGTCAATCATCAAAAGCAGTGAGAGCAGGGACTCAAACAGTGCAGGAGTCTGGAGGCAGGAGCTGATACGGAGATCATGGAGTGGTGGTGCTTGTGGGCTTGCTCCACATGGCTTTCCCAGCCTGCTTTCCTATAGAACCTAGGACCGCCAGTCCTTCCACATCAATCACAAATTAATAATGCCCTACAGGTTTGCCCACAGCCTAAGCTTATGAAGCCATTTCCTTAAATGAGGTTCCCTTCTCTTCAATGACTTCAGCTGTTTCAAGTTGACATAAAAGTATGCAGCACACTTTCTTTATGCCATGTATCAACCTGGAGCATTTGACTTATACTGTGTTACTTTTTCACACCATCCCCGTAAACCTTAGATATTAGAAAGGCCTGGGTGATTACTCTGTACTTTAGAAACTGAAAAGCCTCACTAACTGATGAAAAGTGATCCAGGCAAAAGCAACTGTGGAGCCATGAAAGCCATTATCATTTTCCATACTCTGTCTCTTGACTTTTTGTTTGGGAATGCACAGGGACACCTGTGAGCAAACATTCACCAACTTGCCCTTGACCGATTGTTCTACCTTTTGAGTTATCGAATGTGAATACTCTTGGCACTCAGATATGGTGAAGTAGAGACTGCTGGGAAGTCAGCCACAAATTATAGTTGATCTTCCAACATCTTCTACCTGAAGGAGCAGTTCAGGAGATTAAAATTAATGAGCCCTTCCTCAGAGCTGCTCTAGCTTTTGAAATACATTTCAACTCAAGAGATGGAAGAAAGCATCTCAAGGATTCTAAAGGAATTCTCGTGTGCTTTTGAAATTTGTTTCCTTTAAAGCTTAACCCTATTTGTGTTTCCTGGATTATTTTCATCCCTTTACTTTGTATCTGGTCTGTACACATTTTTTGGTTTTGACTGTTGTTTCTTGGGTCTGTCTCAATGCAGGACTTTTTGTTGTTGTTGTTTTCAGAAACAGTTTCTCTGTGTTGCCCTGGCTGTCCTAAGGCAGACTTGCTCTAGGCTGGTCTCACACTCAACCTGCCTCTGTCTCCAGAGTGTTAGGATGAAAGGCGTGAGCCACCATTGCCGGCCTAACTCAAAACACTTTTAAGAAAAGCAGAACCACCTCAGGACGATAAAAAGTGGCGACTGTTCCAGAGGCTAATCAATACACAGAGCTACTCAGGGTTTTGCTAGGGCTTGAATCAGGTTGTCAACTAAAACACAATGGGCTTTGTTGCTCCACTATAAAGGAGGAAACAGCAGTTTTTTGGCCTCCTCAAACTGTATTGAAGAGCAGGATGGCAATCCCAGACACAGGTTAGAGCTGTTCAGTATTTCCCAGCAAGTTAATTAGCTGTTTCTGTAATGAATGGAAATGTTCAGCAATTTTCTACTGAAGCTGGTCTCAGAACTTTAAGCTTGGAGGGTGGGGACTGTGTGAGAAAGGGGGTCTGTCAGGGAACAGAAATAGCGGCTTTTTGGCGAGAGAATCCAACACCAGTGATTTATCTCAGAAATCACACACTGTAATTCCAGAAAAATTTTATGAGAACTGGAACTGGAGGGCCTGCTGAGATACCTCACTATTTACTTGAGCGTTGAGTTACTTTGGGTTCAAAAGTCCTTCAGTAGGAAGCAGAGTATCGGCAAAATGACTCCCCAAGAAATGCCCAAGGTTCAGGTGCCCACAGGGAGTGGGGGGGGGGGCGATGGGCACCTTGTCCGGACGGGAACAGTCATGCAAGTGGGTTTGGCGTTCTTTGCTGTATCTGATGATTTAACACAGGGGTAGGGGAGGGCGAACGCAGCAAGGTGAAGAGGTTTGTGAGGAGGAACCCTGCTCTGAGACTTTCAATGGAGCTGAAGAGTGAGCGCGCCCAGCCAAGTGACAGCACGCCCCGCTACCACCGCTCCCCTCCCCCGCGGCTAGTCTCCAGGCAGAAGAGTCTAGCGCCAGCCCGTCCTCCCCCTCGTCACTAGTCCGGGCGGACCGAGCCACAGCGGGAGCCCCGCCAGTCTCCGGGCAGCTTGAGCTCCCGAGCGCTCGGCCAGCCTGTCAGTAACCGCCGTTTGCGCCTTCATTCTTTCTCCCCAACCCCTCCTCTTCCTCCTCTTTTCTTTTCCCCTTCTGCCTTTGTCCCGCTTAGTAACTGAGGTCCGACCAATCGCCGCCTTACCGGCCGGCGCCGGCTATCTTCTGATTGGCCCGCTGGGGGCGCGCAGCCGTCTCCGCTCCTCAGCTGGAGCAGGGCAGACAAAAGACGCAGGCTCGGGCTCCGGCAACCGGGATCAGCCAATCACCTTCTGCCCCCCCTCTCAGGGCTGAGCTCGCGTGCGCCCGGCTCTGACTCCTGGCGAGCGGCCAGCGCCCGGGCTGTACCATTCTGAGTGAGGCTGGGGGTAGGGACAAAGGTTGACTAAAGAGTAGAGTCTTACGCGGTGACAGGGAGAGTTAAAAGTCGGAGTGGAGGACTATAGTAGTAATTGTTTCTCAGGCACTTGACAATCTTTGCATGTCAAGATGGTGCGGAGTGGAAAGGACGGTCGTGCTATCGGCCGTTCCCCCTGCCCCGCACGGTTGGGTGGCGCCCCAGCGGGGGTGGGGAGGGAGGGCGGGGGAGGAGGTCCCCTCCGCGCAGTTAAAATGAAACTCTAGTGGTTGGAGCCCGGGCAGAGCGTGAGGGGAGCCGGCGCTGGCGGGGCTACATCTGCTACCCGCGCACAGCCGTGCTTATTGGACTCTCCAACGGGTCGCCATCCCGAAGCTGAGGAAGCTTGGGTTCCCAGCCTGACGCGAACAGAGCCTGAGTCCAAGTCCCAGAGGGAATCGCTCTCTGCAGACCAGTGGGACCCCGAAACTTGAACGCAACCCCCCTTTTTCTAGCCTTTGTCACTTCCCCGGCTTTTCCCCAACGCATTCTTTTTTTCCTCTTCTCCCATTCTCCTCCGAAGGACACAAAAGTGGCTTCCGCTGAAATATTAGAAGGCGGTGGGAGCTCTTCGCTTTGGAGAGCGATTGTGTAGGAAGGATTTTTCGGGAAGCGGCTTTTTAACACCACTGCTCTCTGCTTTCAGAGCCTCTCTGTAACCCTCTGAGGTAAAACCCCGTAGCTTGAAAGTTCGGGGCATTTTGTTGGGTGCTGTAGGAGAGAGGGGGAGGACCTTGTCCTCATCCCAATAGTTGGCTGGACTTGTACTGGCCGTTGGAAACCCCGAAGTACATTTCCGTTTGGAACTTTAGCAAATATATACATATATATTTAGATTTTAAAATATCAGGTAAAAGATATATATGCTTTCTATATATTTCCTGACGACCTGCCCCTGACAGCGCGATGTACAATACGGTGTGGAGTATGGACCGCGATGACGCAGACTGGAGGGAGGTGATGATGCCCTATTCGACAGAACTGATATTTTATATTGAAATGGATCCTCCAGGTATTTGGGAGCGAACTTTTTATTTTTATTTTGTAGATGGGTCTGATTTGTGCTTAACAAAATCCCGGTGATGTTTCAGGCCAGAAGTATTCTTGGGTGCGCCAGGTTCCGGATGAGGGACAGATTGCAGTTAAAGCTGCAGTAAAACTGCTCTGGCTTATACCTTTAAAGTTTGCAGTTAGGACCCTGGTCCCATTGTCCTGAGAAGGTGGGGGTGGGGGGAGAGGAGGGGGGAGGGAAGAAAGATCGGTTTTAGGTTTTGCCTTTGCATGTCATTCAGGTTTTTGACGGCCCTCCACTTTTTTTTTTTTTTGAATTTAAGATTTCTACCTGAAAGAGATGTTTTATAAACCATGCGTGAAGACAGTCTTTCCCTTTGTGGGAATTCCTTAAAGCTTACACCTTAGCGCAGTTGTCTGATTTGGTTCCTTGTATTTTACCTTGGTTAACTTCAGAAACTGAGTTGCCTTTGTGATTATTCATTTTAAGACTCCCAGTTTCTCTCATAGAAACCAAATGCCGGTTAGTGATTTTCAGGGATTGGGCGGTCTTATTCATTCACGGCCTTAGTCTGAAGTTCTTTTCCATCTGTACATATAGTCTCTTAGGTCTGCTTGCAGTATTTTATTACTCGTTAATTTATGGTGATTTAACTTAATTTGGGTGTCAGAATTGATATAATTTTGGCTCTTAAAAATAGAACCTTTCTCTTTCCTGTGAATGGGCTTATATACATGTATATGACAGGTTTCTGTATGTGAACATGTGAAATATATATAAATATATTTTTATTTGAGAGCTTTGTCTGAGGCCACTAGAGATATTTTGTGTCTCTGATAGGGAAGGAAAAAGAAAGGGAAATGAAAAAGTTTGTTCTTTAAAGTATGCCTCATTTTAGGTTATTATAGCTGTCAGATATTCAAACCTTCTTTGCAGTTACCGACAGTGCTTTATGTAATGATTTTGAATAAGCAGAGGGCCTTTGTAGTTCCTTGTGTTTATTGAGGATGAATTCGCTGTCTTTTAAAAAATGGGTTATAGTTAAGTCTACAGAATAACGTTTGTCATTAGGGAACCTTATTATTATAAGAATGTATTTTTGGAAACGTTTAAAAAGAATGGAGTCCATGCAAGTATAATGAAGAATAAATGTCTTGTAGAATGTATGTAGTAATTATTTCTTGTGTCCTTGTGAATGGAGACTTACCTTCTTTAAAAATTAGTGATAGCCTTAAAAACTAATACTAATATTGAATCACCCTTTTTGAAAACTCTTAATTATCACTAAGAATTTTTCTCTTTTCCTTTGTTTTAGAACTGTCTTGGTTTACTTCTGTAATTGTGGTTGTGATCCACATGCAGCTTTCGGTGTTTTGTAAAGTTTTGTATGATTTGCCACCCAGCTATTGTGTTTTCCCTTTGTTTCGCCCAATGGTAAAGCATCGCTTCTGTTAAATACATTTATCATTCATGTGTTCAGAAATCCAGTAAACCACTGTATCTCTCCTTTAATGAGTAAATAATGCTATATATCTGTATTTATAAGAATTATATGCACATTGCCTTGGGATCATGCTGGATCATATAGTATCTTGCCTTCCATACATACATACAAAGGGAATTTGTTGGGTGGGGGAGCTGAGTAGGGAGAAGGGTAGAAAATGAAGAATGATTGAAAAATTTTAATCTTATGGAAAATATTGGCCAAGTTGAGTTAATATATGATTTATTTATTTATTTTTGAGATTGAGTCTCACAGTATAGCTCAGGCTAGCCTGTAGCTCTGTGTGGTGTAGGTTGGTCTCTCAAACTTGCATTCCTTCTGTCTCACCCTCTGAAGTGATGAGATTACAGCCATGTACCACTGTGTTTGATCCAGAAATTATTGTTTAGAAAGCTGTTTTAACTATGCAAAGATGCGGGTTTTAATATGGTTGAATAGAAAATTCTGACCTAAACTTTATTTTTTATTGAAATAAACTTTTTGAGTTTAAGATGTTTATCCTTGAATGAAATTCTGTATACTAAATATTCAGAACACGGAAAATCCCTTTGTATTATCTTTTGTTTTGCATCCTTACTAAAGAATATGCTTGTTACCAATAATATTTCAAAATGAAACTGCTTTTAAACATGTTAAAACATTGACTGTAAAGTGAATTTTTTTTGTTATTCCTTTTTTTTTTTTTGAGGCACTAAATGGCTGGCATGGAACTAACAGAAATCCACCTGCCTCTGCCTCCCGAGTACTGGATTAAAGGGGTGAGCCATCACACCTGGCCTAAAGTGGATACATACACACATGTATATATATATTTTGAGAGTTTTATACATGTTTTGACCATTTCCAATCCTCTCACCAACTCCTCCCAGTTCCAGCCCCTCTTTCCTAGCCATACAATTTCATGTCCTTTTTTGAATATTTCTTAATGGAAATAATGTGAATGCCAACTTTGTTTTGTGTGATAAGTTAGGGTTTAGAATAAGTTAAAGTATTAGTAAATTATCAATGAGATGATTGGCAGAATGTTTGTCTGTCTTTTCTTAGGGTGGCAGGCTAGGAAAAAGTTCTTTCTTCCAAGACTGGTGAAAGTGTACTGTTTTCCCATTTGTCTTCTGTCTAGAATATAGTTTTTGTTTGTGGATGTTTTGCCTGGGTATATGTCTGTGTACCACATGCATGCCTGGTGCCCTCTGATGCCAGAAGGGGACATTGGATTCCCTGGAACTGGGGATACAGTTATGAGCCATGATGTAAGTGCTAGAAATTGAACCCCTGGTCCTCTGGAAGAGCAAAAAGGCTTTTAACTGATGAGCTATCTCTAGTCCCCATTATACCATCTTCTTGTTAAAACATCATGTGATGATTTACCTACAAGGATACAGTGATAAATCTTAAATCGTCCAGTGGTTCTGGGTGGTGGCGGTGGAGGCCTTTAATCCCAGTACTCAAGAGGCAAGCCTTTGAGTTCCAAGCCAAGCGTGGTCTACAGAGTGAGTTCAAAGACAGCCTGAACTACACAGAAAAAGCTAGTCTAGAAAAAAACAAACAAAATCTTCTAATTGCCTCTTTTGCTCTTTAAAAACAAAGTCCTAGATTTCTTACCCTTGCATGTGAATCCAGCTATTCTCTTTTCCTAATTTTCTAGTCCATTTTTCTTCTGGAGTCTATCATAGCTTCTGTAGATTTGTTGTTGTTGTTGTTGTTATTGTTGTTACCTGAATGTACAATTTTGTCTTCCTGTCACTTACTGGTCACTTGTCAAAAGTTTATGTTTCAATTTCACATCAGATGCTTTTTTTTAAGCCCCATAAAATACATTCCCTAATACCCTTTGTTAGAAGACATCCTTCCCTTTTCATTTCTTTTAGAGTACTTCTTAGATGGAATTTATCATATTTAGAGTTGCTACTGCATTTATGTGCATTTTGCCCTATGGAATTATCTTCCTACTTGGTTGGAAGTTTCTTAGCTTTTTTAGGGTCTTGGAAGTAGAAGACAATTTAATCAATTTATGTTGAACTAATGGACAACTAAGGAGAATTGTTTCTAGATTTTGGTGTTTTTTGCTTAAGGTCCTTGGTCACCTCATTACTTGGCTATTGCAATATCCTAACTTTTGAGTTAGTTTATTTGTCAGGGAATAATTGTTTGGAATATTAACAATATTTTGTATATTTTTATGTTGATTTTAGTCTGAACTATAAATGTAAAATTTTTTCCTGTTATTGCATTAAAAACTGTCTTCCATGTGGGTGGTAGTGGCACACAGTTTTCAAGTCTTTAATCCCAGCATTTGGGAGGCAGAGGCAGGCTTTGAGGCCAACCTGTTTTACAGAGTGAGTTCCAGGACAGCCAGAGCTATACAGAGAAACCCTGTCTCAAAACAAAACAAAACAAAACAACAAAAAACCCAAAATATAAAAAATAAATAAAAATTGAATCTAAGTAGGAGCTTAATATCTTTTTGAAAAATTAATTACATTTGTTGGTTGATTGATCTTATATGTGTGTGCCATGGTGCACCTCGGGCAATTAGAGGACAATTTACAAAAGTTGGTTTTTTTCTCATCATGTGACTCCTAGAAATCAAACTCAGGTTGTCAGGCTTGGCAGCAAGCACCTTTACTCTCTGAGCCAATTTTGTGGCCTGGGTTTGATATTTTAATGTTCCTGTATTTTGTGGCAACTATAGAGATAATGTTTACATGAAATGTGAAACTACCTTTGAAATGTTAACATTAGGGTTGGAAATACAGTTCTGTTGTTAGAATGCCTGTCTGGTATACAGGATACCCTGGGTTTGATCCCCAACATTAGGTAAACTGGGAGTGGTGATGTAGGTCTTGTAATTCCACTCAGGAAGATCACAGCTACATAGTGAGTTGAGACTAGACAGATATGAGATCTGTCTCAGAGAGAGGAAGAGAGAGAAAGAATAATATCCAGAGTTACGGTTGTGGCCTGGACTCAGCAGGTAGAAGTTCTTCCTGACAGTGTCCAGCCTGATTGACCCCTAGGATCCACACGGCAGAAGGAGAAAACCTGCATAACTTGTCTCTGACTTCTGCCTGTGCACTCCATATGTGTGCACCCACATATCCATGTGGGGACACATACACTATATAAGTAAAAATGTAGAATAGAAAAGAATAATTAAGCTGGGTGTGTTCCTGCACTCTTAAGAGATCTGCCTGCATCTGCCTCTAGCGTGTTGAGACTAGAGGTTTGTGCCACCACACCTGGGTTCAAGTTGATTTTGAACAGGTGATTCTCTTGCTTCCATTTCCCAAATTCTGGGATTACAAGTGTAATCACTCTTACTCAAATTAGTGTCATTTAGAAAATGATATTTTAATGTGAAATAAATGGTATAAAAGATATACCAATTTTTTTTTTTTTTTTTTGGTTTTTTGAGACAGGGTTTCTCTGTGGCTTTGGAGGCTGTCCTGGAACTCGCTCTGTAGACCAGGCTGGCCTCGAACTCACAGAGATCCGC